CAGAGGAAGCACCTTGGAGTTATTGTCCCGCACCGTCTTCCAACGCCTCTCTATCACTTTCTTAGCCCGTTCCACCGCCACCCTCACCTCCTTCACCCAGCCTGTCTCCACGGCAGGATCCAATTTGACCACACGCCGAACGACCTTGGCCTGCATGACAAACAGCCTGTCATTGGGTACCGGGGAATATTTCACCTTCGCAGCCATGTCCAAGAGACGGGCGAGGTGGAACGCCATCAGCGGTTTGTACCACGACGTCTCTCCACCTACGCCAGCAGCCGCCGCTCTGTCGAGAACAAGACGCAGCGCAACGCGGAGAAGCAACCATGTCGCGCAGCGATGAAACGGCAGGAGGGCGCTGCTCCAACCGACATGCTCGCGACTGCGTTTGGTGACGCGGCTCAAGGGGGCGACGCTCTCACCGAGGCCAGAGAGCAGGTCGATCAGCATGCCGTTCACGAGCAGCGGGGAGACGGTATCTCGCTCCTCGGGCTGGAAGGTTTTTGCTTTTTTGACTTTGGGGCGGGCCACGGGAACGTTGCTGGCGGTGAGCGTCTGGATGAAGTTGGCGAGTTCGCTGAGGAAGTCGGGGTCTTGGAGCCGGGCGTAGGTGATGACCGCGGCGCGGTCGGGGAACTCGCGGAGGAGGGCGCCCAGGCAGGACATGACCTTGTCGTTTGGGGCGAGGAGCTCAAAGGCTTCGAAGAGAACGTCATCTTGTCGGGCAGTGACGAGTAGGCCGGCGTTCTGGGCGCGGAGGTGGAAAAGGGCAATGCCTGGGGGTTGGCCATGTTGATGAGTGATGTTTGATAGGGAAGAAAGAGGGGAGATACACACCACCGTTCTTCAAGTCGGAAATCACATGGTGCATGCCACGAGTCTCGGTGCTCAGGAGCCGGTCGAGCATGTCAACCGCAGGCCGGACAGAGGGAGCGGAACTAGGCTCTGCCGACAGGAAGCATTCAACGGAATCGCGAAAGGCTCGAATGGTGGTATTCAGGTATCCAGCTTCTGAGTCGTCCTCTTGCGGCAGTTGAGGGGGGAGAAAGACATGGTTGATCATGAAGTCAAGCGCTTTTGAATCCGGCGAGTTTGCCATTTCCCAAGCACTGGTGATGGCCTGGATTGGCGGTTTGGTCCTTGAAAGAGAGTAGAGGAGGAGAGTAAGGAGGAGGAAGTAAAGAGAGGAAGAGAGGGGAGCGGGAGTGAAGAAGGAAGAGCAAACGGAAGGACTCCAAACGGAGAAGCTCACTTTGACAGTCAGCCTTGCAGCCTACGTTTGACGGCGCTTCCAGCGCTCAAAATGATCGGGTTGATTGGGTTGATAGTGACTGTTGGGTCTATTGGGCGGCCGGCCGGCCGGCCGGGTCGCGAGGCAACCTACCGAGGCGCAGACGTAGGCATGATTTGCAAAAATGGCCTCCGTCCAGTTAACCCAACATTGACCGTTCGCTCGGATGGCTGCATGGCCTTATCTAACTGAAGCGGCCGATGGGGGTTAAGCTTGGCGACGTGTCCCAACAATATGCGGTAGGCCTCACAGGGTGCTCTCCTCCGGGAGCAGAGTTTCCCGCCACTTCATGGCTGAGTTCTTGTTGGCCCATTCAGACGCTGAGTTCAGTGCGGCTACGAGCTTTCGTGACAAGCAGACCCGACCTGCCGATTTGACTCGGCTTCACCAAGATCGAAGGCGATTACCAGAACTTCGTCTTGCACGAGGTCGCACTGCCAATTATCGAGCATGACATCGCAGCATTTCTGTCGTACCTGTCGGCCTGCTCGACGGCAGAAAACAGGGCGAACCGGCTGTCGGACGAGGCGATCCACGTGGTGAGCGGCTTCCTGGTAGTCGGCTTCCCGCACGTCGTCGATTGCCTCTGGCCATCGAATGATGGGGTCTGTGTGGAGGTGGCGGGCGGGTTCTACTCGTCGCTCTTTGAGCAAGGGGGTCGCGGTGGCAGGACGGACAGATGGCGGCGGCATTGAGGGAGGCAGTAATGGGGGTTAGAGCGGGGGACATGGCGATGCCGCTTAACTGGGCACAGTTTGTTCATTATGGACCGTAAGGACTGGCCCGAGTTGACGGGCTTTGGCTGACAACAGATACGAGGCGTGCTTTCGGAGTACTGTAGAGTCTCATCAGATCATTATTGCGAATAGTAATCCACCATTATCAAAAGTATCTAATTCGCCTCGCCTGAATTTTCCAAATTGAATGAAGGTAAAATGACACTGGTGACACGATCTGTTGTTGTGCAATAAATCACAGTTGTCTTGTTATGTCCATCAACCCTGACCTGAAAAATTGTTAGTGATAGAGCTGCTCTACACCGGAAATTGCTGGACATGAGCTACCCCGCCAATCGTGGGGTAAACCGCCTGTAAGTCGTCTAAACAACCGCCCACCCGAAAACTGTTTTTTTGGCAAGGACTATCCAATAAGTCGAGATACAGTCAAGCGATTAGTATCATTAAATCAAGCAAAATTCTCTCTACCGGGTTGCATAGTGCGATCTTCTCGGGAACGCGTCGAATGGTTCCGGTCAATTTAGACAAGAAAACGGACAAGTTTCCATGTCAACAAGGTTCTCCCTTATCACCGATCTTGTTCCTCTTCTTCAATGCGGACCTAGTACAACGACGAATCAACAGTCATGGTGGAGCCATAGCCTTCGTGGACGACTTCACAGCGTGGGTCACAGGACCTACGGCGCAGAGCAATCGGGAAAGCATTGTAGCCATCATCAAGAACGCCCTAGATTGGGAGAGAAGGAGCGGTGCGACATTCAACATACAGAAGACGGGGATCATACACTTCACTCGTAAGACCTACAAGACTGACACACAACCATTCATGATCAAGGGGCAGACTGTCCAGCCCCAGGACCATGTCAAGATCCTAGGAGTGGTTATGGATGCGAAACGAAAGTACAAAGAACACATTTGGAAGGCTGCGTCCAGGGGATTGGAGGCAGCAATGGAATTACGACATCTTCGAGGACTGTCTACATCAACGGCACGGCAGTTGTTTACATCCACAGTCGTCCCGGTGGTGGACTACGCCTCCAATGTGTGGATGCACGCATACAAAAACAAACTCGTGGGACCTATCAACAGGGTCCAGAGAATGGCGGCGCAAGCGATCGTGGAGACCTTCCTCACGGTATCAACGAGCGTGGCGGAAGCGGAAGCCCATATCACCACCGCACAAGATCGATTCTGGAAGCGAGCCATCAAGCTCTGGACGGGCATTCACACACTGCCAGACACCAACCCATTGCGCAGAAACATTTCTCGGGTGCGAAAATTTCAGAAACACCGCTCGCCACTCTACCAGGTGGCAGACGCACTCAAAGGCATCGCAATGGACGAGTTGGAAACCATCAACCCGTTTACATTGGCACCGTGGGAGAACCGCGTACAGACCATCACAAACGAGTTGACGACAACACACCGGGACGTCAACTACGATGTACGCATTGCCGTAAGCAGCTCGGCGCGAAACGACCTGGTGGGAGTTGGCGGAGCTGCGATGCTGCCGCCGTCCGTGTACGACAGCCCAAAGCTTGGGACCTTCTCCTCTACGCTGGGTCCGAGATCAGAACAGAACCCATACTCCGGGGAGCTGGCAGCGATGGAACGAGCGTTGGGCACGCTGCCAGCGCTCAGATCTAGCCGTATTGAGCTCTCAACGCGAAATAAAGCGGCCGTTCTCACGCTCCGACAGCCACGACAGCAGTCTGGCCAACAGCACATCGGCCATATCTACGAGTCAATCAGAGCACTACGCAGGAACGGGAACACAGTAACAATACGGTGGCTCCCTGCGGGCGAAGAGGACAAGCTTTGGGAAGCCGCTAAGAAGAATGCCAAACACGCCACTAGACAGGGTGCCACTCCGCAGACGCAAATGCCCAGGACACGCTCAACAACGCTCAACGTAGCATGGTCCAAGAGAAGCACCAGCAATCAGCTGCCAGACAAAGTCGGAGCTCATTCCAAGCGAGTCGACGCAGCACTACCAGGCAAACACACCCGACTGCTGTACGACCATCTGTCACGAAAGGAGGCTGGCGTACTCGCTCAGCTCAGAACAGGCATGGCAAGACTCAACGGTTACCTCCACCGGATTGGAGCAGCTCCGTCAGATCAGTGTGCATGCGGACAAGCAACAGAGACAGTGGACCACTTCCTCTTCCGATGCAGAAACTGGACAGCATACCGATCAGAGATACTCGAATGTACAGACACCCATAGGAGCAACATTTCCTTCTATCTAGGAGGGAAGTCGCCATCGGATAAGAAAGATTGGATTCCTAACATGACGGCCGTTCGGGCAACGATACGGTTCGCAATAGCCACGGGCCGGCTTGACACGAACCAACCGCAGGCCGACTAAGACACCTAACCCACCGCACCGACCGAACCTACACCCCCTCACCTCGTGCTACGGACAGCAGACACCGCTTCAGCCGCCAAAGATAGGACGTTGAACACTTGGAGAATCGCCTTCAAGCAAGCCTGCTAACAATCCTACTAACCCACGAGAATCCGCAGAGAAATGGTATAAGAGAGGACATGAACTAGAATGAACTTTGTATGGGCTTCGACGAGATCAGGACATATCTTGGGAAATGTATAGTCAGATTGTAATAGCTGCCCTTTCGGGTTACCCGCCGGGCGTCAATAAATTGTATTGTATTGTATTGTAAACCATCACACGCATCATCTAGACATTCCACAACCAAAAGTAGTCGGATTGGATTGAAATATTCGTCAATCATCTCGATTCAAACTTGAGACTTGTTCTCCTAGGTTAAGCCACTTCGATCGCTTTACGCACCGTGTTCTGGCGAGGCGTCGTAATGGGCTTGTTTTGCCTGCGAACACGCGTCAGCAGCGAAGCAGCAGACACGCGTAGGACATCGCCACAGGGCAGAAAAGTATCTTCATAGCGAGTCATTATATCCGATGAATTAGAGACGACATGTGAGAGACGAGCAATATATAGCGAGGCACAAGGGCGCTGCAAACACTACTCAATTCTGCTAATCGAAAGCTGAGGAAAGGAAAAAGAAGAAGACACAAGATGCGCGTCTGTAGCGCAAGAAGGTAACTAGGCGCACGGGCCACCTTTCCTCACACGACACTATCCAGGTATATAGAGCGCTTCTGGCCAAGATCTTAATGGGTAGCTACTGTTCTACCCGAGAGGCTGATGGGCAACACGAGGACGTCCGACGGTCCTCGAGGGGCCCAGGCCGAAATTACGGTTGATCATCTTATCCTTCACGCTTATCAATCACCAGGTGGAAATGTATGGGCGTGGTGTGTTACATGTTTAGTTGTTCCGGTGAGGGATACACGGAGTGTTTAGCTAGTTCCTCGTCTGCTCGTTGACTGCCTCGGAACTAAGAGCTATCTGCTAGTGTCTTATGAATACGGGACATCAGATTCTCAACTGACGGCCCTCTTTCTTCCAACACTTACATCATTCTAACACTAGCCGGGGGTGTTGTGGTGGCAGAGCCAGGCACGCGGGAAGGTCACATGTGACCTGTCACATGACCAACCCTGGCCGGCATGAGGCGGGATACAGCGGGAAGAGACCGGAATGGCACTTCCGTAGAGGGCTAGGGCGCGGTGGTGGCTGGGGCGGCCTCGAGGAGGCTGTGCGGAGTAAAGTGCCCAGATATTAGTAATCACTTGGCAATCTACCCACTTTGAATCTACGTAGATGAGGTTCGGGTAGAGTGGATAGAAGCTTGGCAACAGGCAGCATAGAATGGATAGAAAGCACTGCTTTCTATCCACTAGTAGATTCAAAATCTACTTAGGTAGGTAGATGCAGAACCCTGGATCTACCGGTCTTTGCTAGAAACCATTGATAGAGCCGATCTCTACACTTGCCCGTTACTCTTTGCCGGTGTCTGTCGAGAGGAATAAGAGAAAGCTATCCTCTCCCTGCTTGATGACCGCTGCTTTCTATCACATCCCTTCCGGCACCTACACTCTGCTACCCCGCCCATAGAGTAACTGCGGTCCAGCAGTGCTACAGGCTCGTCGGATTCCCGGTATGCGATTAGCAGTATGACGCTCACTCTTGCCAACCCTTCTACGTCCAACTCGGACCCTATATAGGGAGACAAGAGAATCCTCCAAAAGAGTTCCCAAAAGAGAGGTGTTCGTGGCACAATTTCTCTCGAAACCAACCACTGTTGGCCCCGAAGGTCCCACGACCCACCTGGGTACTCGGCCCGGAAGCGGCGCCGCCTACGCCGAACCGAGCTACGCCCTGGCTTTCGGGGCCGTCCCGTTCGTTCTCTTCCGAGCCAATCGGAGTCTCTTGACACGAAACCGCCCGGGCGAATTTCAGCCGCCTAAGCGGGTCCGTCGACGTCCCTTCCATCCATCGCAATCACTACAGCTCAACAGGCACCGCTTCCCCAGCACTATGGCAACTTGCGACGTAGCAGATTCGTCTGTCCCATGTCCGGGAACTCCTAGTGTGCATGCCTCTGTCTTTCTTAGCGCGGACGGCGAGTGGCGCCGTCCGTAACCCGGCCTACTGAGCCAGTCTCTTTTTGTCATGCTGAACGATCGGGTTAAGGTCTCCTGGAAAACGCCCGCAGCTTTCTTGACCCAGCTTCTCGAGAGCAGCACCGCAGTCCATACAGGCGGTACTACCTTTCTCATAGACCTACCGGAACCGGAAAGACATGCTTGGCTCTCGCTATCGCAGGGCATTTCAGTGTGAATGTCTACAGGTCTGCGATGGCCACGCCTCCCTCTGACCACTCCTCCGCACTTGTTGTTGGAAAACTACATGGAGATGTCGAACCGATCTTCATAGCTGAAGCGGACTACTTCGCGTGGGTCGTTGATTCTCCAGCATCAGAAAGTGGTTCACTCTTCCGTCTGATGTTCCCTCATCCGGGCACCGACTTCTCAGAGCAACAAAAGGATTTGACTGTGCCGGTCGTAGTTTCGAGTTCCTGCATTCCATGCTCATCAAGGTTGGCGATATTCGCGGGTACGATGTTCTTATCGCGGATATGGAACTCCAGCCTCTCATAGAAATCTTGGTAAGCGTTGTCCCGCCAACCAAGCGAGATTGCAAGTGACTAGGGTCTACCCATCTGCATGTTGCACGCTCTTGATCCGCCGTTGACCGACTCGTACTTTTGGTGCCATTCTCTATACCTGGCGCCGCGCTGTAAGAACATGATACACTGCTGCGTCCTCCTCGTCGTCCTCGTCGTCCTCGTCGTCCTCGTCGTCCTCGTCGTCCTCGTCGTCCTCGTCCTCCTCGTCCTCCTCGCCTTCCTCATTCTCGTTCTTCGTCCTCCTCGTTCTCTTCACCCACCGCGTTGATTACAGCATCTAGCGGCATACCTGCCATCTCTTCTTCCATTTTTGATGTTTCTCTGCCAAGACAAAACACTCTTTCCATAAACGAAGAAGAACTGACCATCTTTGGAAGCCGATTGATCTTAATTACGCTCTCGCTGACCGAAAAGGTCTCGAAGTGGTCTGTATCAGGCCAGAGTCCGAGTGCTTCGAGTGCCGTGAAGTACCTCTGTATGTCAAATTGCAGGTCCGGCAATAAGTCGTGTTTAGCTTGCATGAAAAGGAACTCAACCAGGCCAAGGACATTTCGATGAATTGCGCGTTGGGTATCTTTGACCTGCCGTTCGAGCTCGACTAATGTGGGCTGTTCTTAGTAGCTGCTCCAAGAAAACACGGACAACCGTAATAAATACCTTTGAGAGCCTCGGGTAGCCTTGACAGAATCTTATACTCCCTCCAGATCTGACGAAAATCGGGGGGAAGGTCATGTGCGTAGCGTGCTGACATGGTTGAAAATGCTGGCGATCGGAACAGATATGCTGCCAACAGACCGTAGCCCATGTCTCTGGCTGTCGTGCCATTTTCCTGCGGGAAGTTGTTGGCATCGCACCAACAGTTGATCCAGCCGATCAAGGCCCCGTTGAAGTCGTACTTGTCTGACTGGATTGCAATATTTGCAATGCTCTCCGCGGTCAACTTCCTTGGGATTCGCTCTGCTCTGAAATGAACGCAACTGAAGATGAAATCCATTGCCTCCACATCATCTTCCTCGAGTGTTATCCCTGGAATAGCCAATTGTGAGCCCTCCTTCTGGGCCTCACGTAATTGCCGGCCTTCGAATCTTGGACTGAGCAGTGTCTCAAAATAGGGTGACGCATGGCGAAGCATGCTGGAAAAGACGAGGAAGGACCGGACCTTGGATCCGTCCGTATTGCGGACCACCAGGACCAGGTCGGCCTGATCACTTAGATAGACTGATGGGTTATTCTGCGCTGGCTCCATGGTTGAGCATAAGGGGCAGTGAGGCGGCGACTGTAGATGCGCATGAGACAGCAAGTTGGAGGAAGTTCCGGCGGAGGATGGCTAAACAGGTGTTCGTAGTGTTTTTAAGAAGGTTGCAGGAGCAGCGAGAGGGATCAATTGTAGTGAGGGAAGGCAGCAATAGTGGCTCTGGACAGGCAAACTGGCAACTTGCTCCGCCTGGCTGCTCCTGGCGAGCTTCATAATCCACGACCGGAGGTGTGCTGGACCACCGTCAAGGCTACTCCGGCCCCAGGTTACTATCCCTTGCAATCTACCCCTGCGAACACTGATATGTGATGATTTTAGACCTGGGATGTTCAGCAGGCTTCAAGCATGCGAGACGTTGATTCACCGAACCCTCGTTTTTCTGCCAATCGCACAATTCCAAGATAGGAAGGGGTCGATTGAGGAGGTTGACGGCGACGCCGAGGTGGCTCGGCCGCTGTGATGCAAGGTGCGTCGCCTCCCTTTCCTCCAGTCTTTCGCTGCAGAAACACCAATCACGAGACGATCTCACACTGAGCTGCCACATACGCCACTGCCATCCTCGCACCATTTGCCTTCCGGGGGTTCGAGTGTGCCTCGCTGTCAATGCAACGAAGAGCCGAAGATTGCTTACATAGGCGCAGGGCGCGTCGTCTTCTCTTCCCCTGGTCCTGCGCACGGCCCCCTTCCTCATCGTCCCGCAACTGGAACCACGAATTCCGAGATGACCGCGCAACCGCTGCTCCGGTGGGACGACCTGTGATGACCGCCGCGGCGAAGATCATCGTCCTCTCGAAGTCAAGTTGATTCGGTTACGATAGTTAAGGAGACCACCTATCGTCCATACTGTAATATGTTAGTCCAAGATTGAGTTAGTTATAGATAAGACGGACTATAAGCTCCTTACCCTTGGTGGTTATTCGGGATAGTCTTACGCCGTTGCTATGATTCGCCAAATAGTCCTCTGAGATGCTGCCTTCAGAGGTTCGAGATCTCGGACTGCAGCGCAGTTACTTCCGTGGAGACGGACAAACGAAACGCGAAACCGACAGCGAAGGGGCGCCCGGCTCCAGGCGATAACACAAGCGGGTCAGAACCGGGGGGAGGATGGGAAGTGTTCGATCACGTCCGGGGACAAAAGGCATTGATGACCCAGGAGCGAAAAGTGGTGTCGATCCAAGTCCCGAGGAAGCCAAGCACGGTAAGCAGCTGGTAGATATTTAGAAGGTTGTCAGTCATGCCGATTTGCATAGGGCCGAAGACATCGATCTTGTCAAGACGATCTACTGCGAAGTAGAGGGACCATTCGTGATCGTGGGTTAGGATGAGCGGCAATGTGGGGAGCTGCGGGCCTGGTTTCCCCCCTCCAACACCGAGCGTTTCCATCCGCTTATGCCAAGCTGCTGTCCATATGCCTAACTGTAGTCGTCCCTCCTCGAGACTCGCCCCTGCAGCCTTGGTCTCCATGGTCACGGCCGCAGGAGAACGCATCAGAGGGGGATAGTCGGTCTGGTTGACGCAGAGGTGGGCTGAAATGAGTCCTGACGACTTCATTGGCTTGGCCAGCTCGACAAGCTTATTCTGGATGGCAGAATCGAACTGTGACTCCGAGCCGAGGTCAGGCGCTAGCACGAAGTCCACCATCTTCCCCTCGGCCACCTCGCCGGTAATGAGGCTTGGCAGAAAGCAGGACAGAATCCGGGCCGACGTTGCATTCTCGCATATGACGGACGCGTGTCGCCTCGACAAGGCAAGCTCCAACAGTGGTCCGTGGACCTTTGCGTTCCACGCCGCCTCGGCGCGACGGAGAGCCAAGCACTCCCTTGCATCGTCCTTGATGCCGCGGACCTTGTAAAATTCGGCATGGGCGATGCGTGCTTGCAGCGAGGCGCCCTCTGCAGTGCCCGCAAATAGGGCCGAGAGGGGAAGGTAGTCGAAAAAGCGTTCCTCCAGTCCGTCATTCCGTCCCACCCCGTCTTGACCGTTTCCTTCCTCCGGCTTCCGGTAGACAGAGCCGGGGGGGGGATGACCTGCGTAGAGAGCTTCAATCTCCGTGCGAATCTCGGTGGGGTAGATGCCCGTCTGGTATTTCGTAGCAGCGAAGATATCATAATAGAGCTGCCGCACATCTTCGGGGAGTTGGCTCAGGCCGGCATTGTCGTCGAGCGAGTCGAACACGACGGGTTTGTCGAGGCGCTGTAACCCTGTGATGTTCTTGACAGGGCTGGCGGCGCGGCGGGAACCTCTGGAGCTTCTGTCTTGGCGGTCGGATGCCATGGATGCAGCGGAGGAATGGCTTAGGCTGGGGGGCGGGGGAAATGTGGTTCGCATTGAGAGGGTGGTGATTGCGGGGCGTTGGGATCGACCCGATCGCGGTGTTGCATCAGGATCCGGATCGGTTTTGTGGCTGCCGGGTCTGCTATCGTCGTCAATCTTTCGCTTTTTGGGGCCTGGCGACAAGCTCCCGGTCCGCGGAGGAGTTGTCATTTCGAGCTCTCGGGGGCGCTTGAGGTGGCCTCTGTCGGACTTTCGGTCGTTATTGCTGCAATCGGGCAGCTGAGATAGCCAGAGATGGATGGCAGAATCATTGGACATAGTTTTCTGCCATCCATTGGACATGGCTAAGGGATGGGCGGTGGACGGCAACTGGGATATTGCGGGCAGTTGTCTGTCTTGAGCGTTGGGCAAACATTGGATTCAGCTTGCAGTAGTGTTGCTGCCCGACGGGACCAAGACGCGAAATCACGTGAGGGACCGGAAGCCCAGGCAACACGGCTTGCCAGACAGCTAGGCGGAGGGGTGGGCCCGCTGAGTTTAACCGTCCATATGGATTAAACAAGGCACTTTTCATCCTCCGATAAAGTCCTCCTCACGCCATTCCAACAAGCACGATTCTCCGGTTTCTCAGCTTCTTTTCTGCCCAAGCCAACCATCTTCAGCTTCGTCTTTACAGGCACCTTCCCGTATCTGCCACCACTTTCACACTAGATACGACGATCCTTCCAGACGCCGAACCCGATCAGGAAATAAATGGGACATGGCACGGTAGTTAACAGCAATCAAAAGTAATGACCGCATCAACGAACGAGCTACCCCAAGCACTTAAACTGAACTTGAGAGAACCCTATAACTGATTCATCATGTCGCTGCCAAGTCCGGATGTGGAACATCGACAAGGGCGAGCGATTCTCTGTCAACCCTGCACGTCACGCCCTCCTAAGCACCCACCTAAGCTGAGCCTGTCCTCTTGTGAAACTGTAGCATCTGAGGATATTACTTGAAATGCGAAATCGGCATCCAACTATTATGCTCGGGCCCATACCCTTCCCACTTGACCCGGTACTCCCGCCGCCCCCCTCGTCGTCGTGAACCCAGAATCTTTTCGACCTGGAATTACTCGCCTTCCTGAACCTTCTCAACCGCGGAAGCCACTCCTGAAAGAGGGGCCCGCCTTGTCGAGGAAGTCCTCTTTGCTGGTGACTTGCGTTGCTGGACTTTCCAATGCGGGAAGTCTTTGGCGGGGCTTGGGTTGAATTGGTGGCCTCTGAGCCTGTGGTGAGCGGGAGCTGGCACATTGCAGACGTGCCTGCGGCTTGGGCGCCGTTCCTAGAGTTGCAGTCCGGCGGCGCTTGCGCGGCAGCTGATCATTCCGGCCGTGCTCCGTATCGCCGTTTTCAGCAGCACCGCATTGCTCTCCATCATCGGCACCGCGACGTCGACGACGGCCGATATTGACTTGGTCTTGGTTAGCTAGCTCGCGGTCGTTATTGCTTTTAGTGTCCGATAGCCCCGGTATGCCTGCCACACTCTCTTGCGGCTGCACGGCACTCCTTCGCGAGCCTATCTTCCACCTTCTCCCAGGCCTCCTCATCCCTATCGCCGATGTCTGGGAAGATGGTGTGGCCCAGGAGGATGAAGTAGATAGTGCAACCTAGCGCGAACAGGTCCGTCTTAAGTCAAGAGGCAATAGGTGGCGTGAGAAAAGGGGAGAGAGTAGAGGGCTTGTACGAGTTGATGATTGAATGTCAACGAATTGGATGTAGTTAGCGTGCCAAGGCCCTTAGGCTTACGCGCCTCCGGGCGAAATAAATTCCATCCATCCATCTATCTGTGGATTGGCCATAGCTGCGCTGCTCAACTATATTTTAGGAAAGTGGCGATTTGTGGTGCTGCTCTCGTCGGCGTTTGATCTCGTCCGCTGCACAGGTTTGGAAATCTCTGAGAACGCTGTTGCGCCAGTCAGCAGGTACAGCGTTGCAGGTTTTGTTGTCGACGGCGGTCCAGGAACCCACATGATTGCTGCTAAATTTAGCACGCTCTCAATTGGTCAAATGCAGGGTCGCAAAGCTGGGAACCTGGATCTCACCGCTTCGAACCCCATCTGAGCAGGGCCATCACGACCTAGCGGGACCCTTGGCTGCCAGGACCCTCGCTGACGCCCACCTTTAAACCCCACCAGACCAGTGGATCGCGATCTGACGGACCGGGCCGCACGTTCCTCTCCGCGGCGGAATGCGACGATTCTTCGGCCGGCGGCCGAAAGCCGCGACAACTGGTTCGGCGGCTCAGCAAAGCCAGTCAGAGCGACCCCCCGTCGCGGCCTCGTCTTCGACCAAGACTTTCCCCTCGGGCATCAAGCCGCTTTGCTGCCCGGCAGGTGCCATCGTCGAGTGCGTACATCGTTGTTCCTCTATGACGGCTAGCTGATCATTCCAATCTAGCATCGTTTTTGTCCACGGCCTGACCGGCGACCGCGAGAAGACATGGACCGCCAGCGACGCGTCTGAGCCATGGCCCAAGGCCCTCCTCCCGTCCGAGCTCCCGGCCGCGCGTGTCCTCACATTCGGATATGATGCATACGTGACGGACTGGCGGGGCATTGTGTCGCAGAATCGGATTGCCAACCATGCGTGGGATCTTCTGACGTCTCTCGCGTCGTATCGAGAGAAAGACGATACGGTGAGTGTGAGCGGCCGCGTAGACTGGGTATGACGCTCACGCGAGTAGAATGAACGGCCGATCATATTTGTCTGCCACAGCCTGGGCGGGCTGGTCTGCGAGGATGTACGTCTTCTCGGGCCCTAGGCCGCCGCAACCGCTAATTCCCTCGCTAGGCATTGTTCACATCGAGACAGCGGACGGAACCACACCTTCATAACGTCCTCCGGTTGACGCGCGGCATCGCCTTTCTCGGGACGCCACACCACGGGTCAGGGCTGGCACGATGGGCCGAGCTGCTGTCGCGATCCATCGGGATCATCAAGCAGACGAACACACAAATCGTTGAGGTGCTCAAGCGCGACTCGGAGGTGCTCGCGCGGATCCAGGACGGTTTCCACACCATGGTCCTAGCGCGTGGCAGGGAGGGCCAGTCGATCGAGATCAGCTGCTTTTTCGAGCAGCTGCCTCTGCCAGGCATCGGCCAGGTAAGTGTGCTGGCGTGACTCTACGGCGCGTGTTTTGCTGATGGAGTTGGGCAGGTTGTGCCGCAGGATTCGGCCATTCTGCCTGGATATATCCCGATCGGGATCCGCGGCAACCATATGGACATGACCAAATTCGCCAGCGCGGATGACCCGGGGTTTCAGGCAGTTTGCGGAGAGCTTCGTCGGTGGGTGAAGCAGCTCGGCAGGGCTGCACCACTAGACGGAAATCTACTCCCTCCAGGGTCTGGCAGCGCATCCCAGGATGGTGAGCTCGGACCGGCCGAGTCGGATAGGCGAGATGGGCCCCAGAGCGATGCGACGATGTGTAGGTAGAATGTACGCTGTCGTCTAGACCAGGCTAATGAGAGTAGTCCTCGTGCCATATACCTGCAATCCCGACTTCGTCGGGCGGTCCGATATTCTCGAAAAGCTCAAGGACCAGCTCGGCCTTATGCAGCGGCAGAGCAAGTGGCACCTGAGAGCCGCGCTGTACGGCTTGGGAGGCATTGGGTAATTGAGGCTGCTCTATCTTTGCTGGCTGCGCTGATTGTGATATAGGAAAACGCAAATCGCACTGGCATACGTGTACTGGCTGCGGGAGGAGTTTCCTGATCTATCGGTCTTCTGGGTCGACGCGAGTAACACCGAGCGGTTTCATCAGTCATATGCATCGATCGCGCAGGAATGTCACGTCCCTGGTCACGACGATCCCAAGGCGGACGTGGTGCCGCTGCTGAAGAGGTGGCTGGCGAGCAGGGACCGCGGCAGGTGGCTGATGGTGCTTGACAATGCTGACGACACGCAGCTCGCCAGCGGGCCGGGAGGGCTTGGGCAGCACATTCCCGAATGCGCGCATGGGTCTGTTCTCGTGACGACGAGGAACAAGGAGGTGGGCTCGAGGCTCACAAGGGGCGGACGACCGATCGAAGTCGAAAAAATGGACGACAGCGAGTCGAACGAGCTGCTCGAGAAGAAGCTCGAGCAAGACAGAATCGATCCCAGCGACTTGTCTACGCTGTCATCTCGATTGGAGCACCTACCGCTCGCGCTGGTCCAGGCGGCTGCGTTCATGCAGGAGAAGTCCGTACCGATCAGCAGGTATCTTGAGCTCTTGGACAACAGCGATCAAGACCCCGTCGATCTGCTTAGCGAGGAATTTGAGACGGACGGGAGGGACTCGGGGACCCCTCGTGCAGTGGCTGAGACATGGATCCTCTCTTTCGAGCAGATCAAACGGCAAAATGCGTTTGCGGCTGAACTCCTTTCGCTCATGAGTCTTTTTGACCGGCAGGCCATTCCATTGGAATTTCTGTTCTGTTACAGCGAGCAACAGGGCCAAGAGCAAAGGGGGGAAATAGCGCTTACGAAGGCATTGGGGCTTTTGAAGGCGTTTTCTTTTGTTACCGAGAATCAAGGCTATGGATTCGATATGCACCGCCTCGTACAACTGGTCACGCAAAAGTGGCTCGCTAGGAAGGGCACGATACGCCAATTTGCGGAACACGCGCTCTTGGTGGTGTCGCAAGCTTACCCATACGGCAGTTATGAGAACCGGGCGATATGTAACGCATTCCTTCCGCATGTGTACGCAGTACTGAGACTGGAAAGCACTGGGTCGAAGGATGAGAGGCTGGCAAGGGCATCCATTCTCCACTGTGCTGCCGGATTCTTCGCTTACCAAGGTCAATGGAATGACGCGGAGAAGTTCCAGTTACAGGCAAGAGGGTTGCGAAGGGAAGTGCTTGGAGAGGAGCATCCTTCTACGCTGGCCAGCATGGCCGACCTGGCGTCAACGTACTGGAAGCAAGGCCGATGGAAGGAGGCCGAGTCGCTACAGGTGCAAGTGATGGAAGCGAGAAAGAGGGTACTGGGAGAGGAGCATCCTTATACTCTGACTAGCATGAATAACCTGGCGTCGACGTACCGGAAGCAATGCCGATGGAACGAGGCCGAGTCGCTAGGCACGCAAGTAACGGAGACGAGTTTGAGGGTGCTGGGAGAGGAGCATCCATCGACGCTGACTAGCATGGCCGACCTGGCGTCGACGTACTGGAACCAAGGCCGATGTAAAGAAGCCGAATCGCTGGACGTGCAAGTGATGGAGACGAGAAAAAAGGTGCTGGGGGAGGAGCATCCCGACACGCTGAGTAGCATGGCCAACCTGGCGTTGACGTACCGGAAGCAAGACCGATGGAAGGATGCCGAGTCGCTGCAGGTGCAAGTGATAGAGTCGAGAAAGAAGGTGCTGGGAGAGAAACACCCCGATACGCTAAGTAGCATGGGCAACCTGGCGTCGACGTACGAAAAGCAAGGCCGATGGAATGAGGCCGAGGCGCTGGATGCGCAAGTGATGGAGACCAGTTTGAGGGTGCTGGGAGAGGAGCATCCATCGACGCTGACTAGCATGGCCGACCTGGCGTCGACGTACTGGAACCAAGGCGGATGTAAAGAAGCCGAATCGCTGGACGTGCAAGTGATGGAGACGAGAAAAAGGGTGCTGGGAGAGGAGCATCCATTGACGCTGACTAGTATGGCCAACCTGGCGTTGACGTACCGGAAGCAAGGCCGACGGAATGAGGCCGAGGCGCTAGAGGCGCAAGTGATGGAGACGAGAAAGAAGGTGCTGGGAGAGGAGCATCCCGACACGCTGAGCAG